GAGAGAGAGAGAGAGAGAGGTTGTGTTAATTGTGCCAAGCCAGCCCGAGTGTGGGGTCCTCCCCAGAGGCTGGGAGAGAGCCACTCTGCTCTCTGAGTCAGGCTGTCTCGTGACAGTGCTGATCCTGCTTCCTCAGGACAATCTTCACCTCCTACCAGCTGGAGGAGCTGGAGAAGGCGTTCAACGAGGCCCACTACCCGGACGTCTACGCGCGGGAGATGCTGGCCATGAAGACAGAGCTGCCAGAGGACAGGATACAGGTCAGAGTCTGCGCACCGCGGGGCACTACTCTCCAGGTCCCAGGCACCCCTGACCCTGCCTCCCACCCCCTGCCACAGGCCCGAGCCTGCCCCTGGTCACCGCCACAGGAAGAACCGTGCATTTAAGGTGACAGGCAATTGCTCACCACCAGCCACGTAAGGTAGGCTTAGCAGACGTGGCCTGGCTGCTGTTGCACACGGCAGACTTCCTAAGGAGCGTGTCACACAGGCCCCGAGGGGCTTGGGGCTGGCAGCAGGAGTTCCAGGGGAGCCGGAGCCTGAGCAGGACATCTGTCGTGCGGATGTCTGTTCCAAGGTCAGAGTGCTTTGGTGACTTCGAGAACAGGAAGGTGGCTCCTAGCCCCGTCTGCTTCCCTCCCTGTGCGGAGTATGCTGCCCCGCTTCCTGCGTCTCAGAACGAAGCAGCTGCCGGCCGTGCCCTGAGCACCGGCCCCGTGACTTCTCCCTAGTCTGGCCCACGATGTGGCCCGGGACGTGTGCCCACAGAGTGGCCCAGCGAGCCCCTTGCCTCCCGGGCAGGTGCGTGGCACACCAGCCACTGTTTGGACGGCTGCAGTGGGCACCACAGCAGCAAGGCCTGCCCAGGTCCCCATGGCCTGAGCTGGGCAGGAGGGCGCCTGCTGAGTCACTCTCTGGGCAGCATGACGTCTGGTGCTTCCAGGCAGGGCCTCCCTGGCAGCCGGAAGTGTGTGGTGCGGAGGATTTCCGGATCTAGCGTGACTCCCGCTGGATTTCGGCCTTCAATACAGCTGCTTCCTTGAGGTGGTCCAGAGGGCGGCTCAGTGCTGGGCCGGGAGTGCTGCCTTCTCTCCCTCCTCCTCCTGCTCCTTCTTTCTCGGTGCTGGGGATTGAACCCTGGCTCGCTCTCTCTTTTTTTTTTTTTTTT